CATCTTATAACTGATTTACTGGTAGTCACGAAAAAACAATACTTAATTCGAAAAACACAGTTTTTATTCATATTTATAAATGTTATTTTTCCTTTATAAGTAGGCTTTTGGAATTACCTCCAGATCACATTTATGCATATATATATATGAGATTTATTCATCCCATTTTGTTAATGTGATAAATGACTTCCCGTCGAATTTTCCCACAATCATATGAGTACACTGGATCGTGCCTGACAAACAGTAACATCTGTTCGTTTGAGAGTAGGGTTTCGAGGGTGTTGATAAGACCGATGCGAGGTCGAAACTGCAGTCCACTTCAGCCGGGATGAATACAACTTTTGGGAAAGCAAAGCAATGTGAAATTCAATGTAAACGTCAGCTCAACTCATGTCATTGTGGGAAAATTCTTCTTCGACCAATCCTTTATTACCTTAAACGAAATTCGGTGAATTCATCTTGCACATCTTCTGCATCAGAGTTTTGGTTCATTCATCTCGGCCTCAAGCGTTTCTGTCGTGAAATTTTTTGACTTGCGTATTTTCTGCAGTACCCACTGCATCGTTCGCTTAGTTCGGTGGAAAAGCCGACATTTTTTTGGCGCCTGGGAACTAGCAAACATCTCCCATCCGCTGAGATTATGGTTCTCCTCGCTTCCTAGTCGTCGAGAGGCCGATCTACCGAGTATGACCGAACAATTACTGGCTTCTTATTTTATGCACCAAATAGCAACCAGTTGGATGAGGATACCTTTTGGGAGGCGAGGCTATGCGAAATTCATTTCATCCCGGGAAGTCTTTTTGTTCAAACATTACTGACACTTGAGTACATGAAGGAAATGCATGCTCACGCACATTCTAATGTATCTGCGACTGGTTGTCTAGCTTAAATTGAATATATAGGTTTCCATTTTTACCGGCTTCTTAATGTTTTTTAAATAACATCTTCGTTTTTCGACGATGGCCAATGCTTTGGGCTTGTGTGTTTTGACGGAACTGGCAACTGTCATGGCGCCAGGTGTATCCTCGCAAGGAGTCTAGTCGGAGTGGGTCTAGTGCGGCGGCCATTTCTGGCCTTGGCGTGATTTGCGTTTTCTTCTGATTGGATCACTCTCTCAAGAGCAATTACTTAGGCCGTCTCTTGATCAAATACAATTTGCTTGTTGACCGACATCTTTTTGCACTCTGAGCATCCGTCGTGCTCGCCTCGCCTGAGGCCAACTTACAAACCAATCGCTTAGAAAGTGTCAGGCATGACCAATTCGCTTTATTGTCTCATTTGTGTTAATTGAGTGAGGCAGAGTGAAATGTTTCCCAATCGAGGTAGCCCAAGAAATGGCCATTCGTTGCCTTGAGGCGATGACGACGCCAATGCCCATTAAGCTCTCCTCATCTTGTCGGTATTAACAGCAGACCCCTCGACGGTTCGCCCGGCCGAGGTCGGCTCCGGACTCAGAGGCTAACGTCGGCTCGACGTAGTTCAGTGAAGCTTTCGACCAATCGTGAAGACCGGGAGCCTTTTGCGACTGGCCGTCTCGAGCACTCCAGCTGGCACCTTTCCTCCGTCGCGACGCTTCCATACGACGAAAGAGGCGTCGCTTCACTTCCTCTAATCACATTTTAGCGCTCCGCTGATTACGGAAGGTCTCGCCGAAGTAATGGCTGAGTGTATGTCTAAACCATCGCTGATTCTAAAATAAAAACTCATTCATTTATTCATTCGTAACCATGTCGTGTTGTCAGGATGACCTTTGAACGCACCCAGGTGCTCTGATAAGCATAATTAATAATAATAACAATGAATTAACTACTTAGCATAATAATTAATAAATAAGTCAGACCTATGGACTTGGTGCCGAATCCATGTTGTATTCCATCTCGTGTAAAAGTGCGTGAAGAAGCGATTCAACG